GATCCTAAAGAATCCCTTGGATCAGTACTATCTTATGGTATAAAATATCAAGACGACATCTCGAAAATCCGCCGCCGGTCCTACCTCCAGACCGAGGTATGCGTCAAGAGATTGACCTGGTTCCGGGAACCAAATACTGCGTAAAACGCCAATGCCCCCTCCTCAAGGAGCGGCGTGACGTCAATGACGGTTTTTTTCGCGCGAAACACGAGGCAGGAATGGTGTGTCAGAGCAAGTCTCCATTCGACACCCACGTTTTGTGACCCAAGCCGAACGGCAAGTGGCGTATTGTTCACGCTTTCAACAATCTAAACTCTGCCACTATTCCGGCATAAAAGCCTATTTCTATCGAAGATGCTATCCAGAACAATATGGCTGGCTAAAGTACAGCGCACTCGATTTGGTTGATAGGTATTATCAATTGCTCATGAGAGCGAGTGATATTCTGCTGACAGCGGTGAGTACCCCGAGCGGGATGCTCTGGGAGTGTCTGGTGATGCACCAAGGGCTGTCAAATGCATCAGCAGCACCTAATCGTCTTGTGACAAAATTATCCTTCAGGCGTATGCACAGATATACTTCGACAACATCTTCGTCCACAGTCGTGCGGGGCAAGGAAGGACAGATTTGAAACACCACATTGTCCATTTGAGAGCGGTGCTCGAGTGCATGCGCACAAATAAGTTGTATACTGATGTCGATAAGTGTATCTCCGGCGCGATAGAAATTCTATTTTTAGGGTGCTAGATTGGAAAGCGTGACCTTCAAGCGGATCCCGCAAAGGTCAAGGCCATTGTAGACTGGTCGGTTGCAAAGATCAATAGGACTTGCAAAAGTGGCTTGGCCTTGCCAACTACTTGCACAAGAATAGCGTAAATTTTGCGGAAATGGTACGGCCGTTGTCGAGTTTCTTTAAGAAGGATGTGTAATGGTGGTGGGACACCGAGCATCGGGAGGCTTTTGTCAAGGGCAGCCTCCTTCATCCACCAACACTGGCGCTGCCAGACCCCGATCGTCTTTTTAGCGTTGTCTGTGACGCTTCGGACTATGCCATCGGCTGTGCACTGCTGCAAGCAGAAGCCGAGGGGCGAGATCGGGTGATCGCGATTGAATCTCGCCAGCTCAAGGCTGAAAAGAAAACTACCTAGTTCACGCCAAGGAATTACCTGCGATGGAGTTTACATTTGTCAAGTTCAAAGTGCACCTGCTCGGCTCTAAGCCGTTCGTGATCTACACACATCATGTGCCACTACGCACTGCGACTCAGTCGCCTCACCTCTCGCAGAGGATGGCCAGGTGGTTCTCGTTCTTTGCAGAGTATAACTTCGAGGTGGAGTATATTCCACGAAATAGAATGCTTCGGTTGATGTTTTATCACGAAGACCGAGTATGAGCTTGCTCATATCACGACGGTGACGCCGACCATGGCATATTTAATCCGTGCCGCGTACGCGGTCATGATCGCTGTTACGGTTTCTTGGGGGCAGGGAGTATGGAAACTCGAACAATAAGTTGTCGTCGCGACTGCGTGCACGGTTGCAGCAATATTCATAGAAAAATAGATTGCTGTATTATACCACTGACTCGACGGATACGCTTCGAATTTTGATTCCTCACGATGAGGAATGGAAGTACCGTATCCGCTATGAGGCCCACGACACCCCACTCAGTGGTCATCTCGACCGTGAGAATACGAACAGCTCTGTGATTCGCCACTACTGGTGGCCCAGGCTGTACAAATGGACTGACATCTATGTGCGCACGTGTAAGACGTGTCAATGGGTGAAACCTCTTTGAATGCGGCGGCGCCGCTGGCCAAATTATCGATACCCTCCGGATGATGGAAGTCCAATCGTTTGGTCTTTGTGTTAGACCTGCCGAAGGACTCGGCGGGCAATACAGATGTGGTGGTCTTTGTGGACCGTTTGAGCAAGATGGATCATTTTGCGGCAGTGCCGGACACAATCGACGGTGTGGGTATAGCGGCGCCGTTTGTCGATCGAGTCCTTTACAACAAGGACTCCAAGAGTCAATTGTCTCTGATAGAGATCCGCGCTTCACTAGGAAGTTTTGGTCTATAAACTACAGGGTGCTGGGCACCAAGTTGACTATTTCAGCAGCGGACCATCCGCAGACCGATGGTGAGACTGAGCGCATGAATCGCGTCGTTGAATACGTTATTCGGAGCGTTTGCGCTGAGACGCCGAAGCGTTGAATCGCTATGTTGCCACTCGTAAAGTTTGCTCCGAACAATGCAGTGCATTCATCTACCGGCTACACGTCGTTCTACGTGAACGGGCTCGTTGATCCTCGCGTCCCGCCCACGCTGCCGTCCCATGGCTCAGGGGGAGGCTGAACGGCTAGCTGATGTCAGCCTTTCACTGTTCGTAAAGAAGTCGATGACTTCCTGTCTACCAGACTGAGTGTGTTGCGACACGTTCGCGATGCGATGGCAGAAATCCAAGACATGCAGAAAGAATATGGAGATGAAAGAAACTTTGATGTCGGAGACCTGGTTTTATCAAATGCTTAAAACCTTCCTACACATACAGTCTTTACTATCTTCAAGACAAAGCTTCGTCCACGTTTATTGGACCTTATAAGGTCATGGCCAAGCGAAGCCTTGCTTATACGCTGAACCTTCCAAGAATGATGCACACCCACTCGGTGTTTTATGTGTGTTTGCTTGAGCCGTACTGGGATCCGGGGCAAGTGATCGCGGAAGCGTTAGCGCCGGGGCAGTGCATAAAGGCACTCGGCCACCCAGAAGCAAACCAGCAGCTAGTTCTGAATACAGAGTGCATAATTTTCCGTCTTTAAAGGCGCCAGGCGTTCCATCGTCGCACGCAGTAACGTATTCGTCTGCTCGAAAGATAGGAGCTGCATCGACAGAGCGCAATTACCTCAACGTGAGGCGGTCGGTGCACAAAGTGCTCCAGACTCTGGAGGCCTTCTGCACAGCGGTAAAGGACCTCGGGATGATGCTCAGTGGAGAGGCGATGACGACGGTCTCTGTCCTCCAAAGCTCCAAGAGCATCGTGAGTCACCGGATAGCGATCGACTAAGTCGCCATCGTCCATGCCGACTCTTTTTGATGAGAATGGT